GCAGCAGCAGCAGCAGCAGCAGCAGCAGCAGCAGCAGCAGCAGCAGCCCAAGCAGCAGCAGCAGCAGCAGCAGCAGCAGCAGCAGCCCAAGCAGCAGCAGCAGCAGCAGCAGCAGCAGCAGCCCAAGCAGCAGCAGCAGCAGCAGCAGCAGCCCAAGCAGCCCACTCGTTGTTTCAGCTTCCCCGCCAATTGGCGGTTTGGATTGATATTTTTTGGGATCAGCTTCCCGTCAATTTGCGGTTTGGAGCCCGGTGTTGGGGATTTTGAATCCCTGGCTTTTGTGGAGGGTTCATGGGAAACCGCCCCAGCAAAACCACCAATTAGAGGGAGGCTGATTATTGGCATCATCGGCATCAGCATCATCTTCATCAGTCAGCTTTGTTAGCATCACCCGTTTCCAACATTTCACAGCGAGGAGCGGGACATCGCGACTCACCAAGCATTGGCATCCATTTAGGTTGAATGAAAACCATTCTGGTATTGGGTGTGCCATCCATCCATCCATCCATCCATCCATCCATCCATCCATCCATCCATCCATCCATCCATCCATCCATCCATCCATCCATCCATCCATCCATCCAATCCATCCATCCATCCATCCATCCATCCATCCATCCATCCATCCATCCATCCATCCATCCATCCATCCATCCATCCATCCATCCATCCATCCATCCATCCATCCATCCATCCATCGTCGGTCCATCCATCCATCCATCCATCCATCCATCCTTCCATCCATCCATCCATCCATCCATCCATCCATCCATCCACGCATCCATCCACGCATCCATCCATCCATCCATCCATCCATCCATCCATCCATCCATCCATCCATCCATCCATGCATGCATGCATCCATCCATCCATCCACGCATCCATCCATCCATCCATGCATGCATGCATGCATCCATCCATCCATGCATGCATCCATGCATCCATCCATCCATGCATCCATCCACCCATCCATCCATCCATGCATGCATGCATGCATCCATCCATCCATCCATGCATCCATCCATCCATCCATCCATTTTCCGTGGGACGCACGCCGATTGGACAATTTTCAAATAGGGCTAAAAGGGTCTCAATCACTCCTCAAGGTGCCCCCTTGCTGATTGACATCCGGAATCCCAATTGAGCCACCGCTCAATGAAGTCGTCCGAGATCGAAACTCTCAAAAAGGAAGACAGGAACAAGACCGCTGTTGTAAAAGCCTTCGAGAAACACAACGCCGTTGACCCTCAGTGGTTGTTGTGTTCGAGCTTGGGAGTATCCAGAGAATCTCGATTTGGCCGGAGAGGATCACTGTCATCACGAGAGCATTTCTAGCATCACTCAAGAGTCACATCACAGTCACTCCAACTATCTGGCACTACCAAGCATTTGTTCATGCATCCACTCTTTAGTCTGCAAAGCGTTGCATGTCATCACCGCACAAGTTGAACGAGCTTAGCCAGTGACAGAAATTCAAACCGGTTTGCCTCGAGCTTGAAAGGCTCAGTCAACAGGGGCAGCGCCTGTCAGCGCTAATGACTAGACCAGTGCAAGCCTCGAAACAGTACTAAGCAAGGCACTTAGTTGGTAAGAAACAACTGGTTGTGGTGAATTGTTGTGCGAAGCTGCGGGATTCGTGCATATTTTCTGTTTTGCAGTCGGAGGATCAGCGGCTTGCCCAATCTTGCCTCGAGCGTTGTGCAGACCGCGCCTTCCGAGCCGAGCCCCCCGTGCTTCCAGTGAGGTAAAGGGAAACGAGGCAACAGGCAACAGCAACGGCGGCGCCTGTGAGCTTTTGCAGCTCAGGCGACAAAGGCATGGTGAGCCCGGTGAAGAACCAGGCCTGGAATTCGAGCCTCTCGAGGCTTTGGCGATGGCTTGAGATTTGAGATTTGCCCCGGAAAACCGTTTTACCGCGCAAGGTGTCCGTTTGGCCGTTTTGGTCGAGAATAGATGGCCCTGGTTGACCTGGTTGTTTCGTAATCCAGCGCCATCTATTTTTCCCAAAAGGACAATGCTCATGTATTACCCAGTATCTCTCCGAATGACATGGATCTTGTCTGGTCTTTCCAGGTCCTGCGCAAGAGCTCTTTGAAGGGTTTCTATGAAGGACCAGCACAGGATGCGTATCTTTGGGAAGCTTTTTACAGGATCTGCGCACCTCCTGATAGAATCTCTTGGCAACATTTGTGCGCAGGATCCTTGACAGGATCCTATATATATATATATTTCTATATATAGATATATAGAAGTTCTCCGACAGGTCCTGTGCTTCCATGTTCGTGACCTGCACCGCGAGAGAGCGAGAGCTCCACAGAGGGTTCACCTTCGATGTCGGCTGCTGCTGCTGCTGCTGCTGCTGCTGCTGCTGCTGCTGCTGCTGCTGCTGCTGCTTCTGCTGCTGTTGTGCCCGTGCCAAGCAGATTTACGACGGTCGCGTAGCCGTGCTCTTTCTTGTTGGGTTGTAGAACCTGGCATCCATTTTTGCAACGACGAAGAGCCCTGCCCTATGGCCTGAGAGTTTGAAGTTGGAGTTTCATGGGGGACGTGTGTTGCAGCAGCTCGTGCTTCCAAGCTTGCAACTTCCAGCAAATTGTGGACTCAAGACGGAGTTCCATGCCGGTTTGTCTGACAGCCCGCAAGCCGAAACGGGACATCAGTGTCGCATGGAGGTCCATGCAGGGAACGTTGGGTAGGCGCACCTAGGCACAGTGTCCACCTGTGCTGGCTTTTGCGTCTTGACATCTTGCGCGCTTGAGCCGGAATAGATCCAGGGCGAATATGGAAGATCTAGCTCGGGCCTCAGCGACCGCCGTGGAGGCAATCGAAGCAATGTAGCAGAAGAATGAAAAAGCCGGAAGAGAAAAACGCAAGCCGAACCTGAAGGCCGAAGCATAAAAGTTGCGTGGTTTTTGAAGCGCAGTTTCCAACACATAGTTTCCGAAGCAGACGATAAACTTGTAAACGCTGCGCGTTGCCCGCCTCGGCCCAGCCGAGCGCGCAGCGTCTGTGGTTCGACTGCAAGCAGCAGAGTTGGTCAAGTGGCGATTCAGGAATGGACAGGTTCTGGCGTCGTTGGACCAATTGATGTCATGGGCCGAAGTTGCGCAAGAATCTTCGAGGCAAGGGCAAGCCAATGCATAGGATGAGGAGTGAGTCATGAAGCCAAGAGTCAGTGGCGCTGCGTGCTGGGGCAGGTGACGTCATGGGCGGAAGTTGCGCAGAAAGTCGCGAAAACAAAGCAGAGCTGTGGTGATCAATGCGCACGGCAGTCTTGATTGATTGTGTTGGCGTGGGGTTGGGTGGGCTGGGCCTTGGAGCTAGTTGTGCTTGCCTTGCTTGAGGGGTGCTGGGGTGGGGCTGGGCTGGACTATGCTGGTTGAGGTGGGCTGATTGGTCTGCCATGATCTGAGACATGGGCTGGGCTGGGCCTGCTTGCGTTGCTGGTTGGGCTTGGCTTGAGGGTAGTCCCAGACACGTCAGGGGACATTTTTTTGGTTGAGTTTGATAATGTTGAGTGCATTTGCAACAGAAATGGGCCCATGAAGCTGGCCGAGCCCCGAAAATTTCAAGGCCCGTCGGACAGGATCTTGGGCCAGCAGACATGGGTGAAGGGGGTTGGGGGGGGGGGGGGGTGAGAATTGTGGGCGGGAAGGGGGTTCCTTTCAGGAAGGATTTTCTTCGAAAAACCAAGAATCGATTCAGAATGTAGTTTCTTTTGGAACCTTTTGCAGCGGAGCAACCCTGAGGGGCACTGCGGCTCTTGCTGGGCATTCGCTGCAACTTCCACGATGGAGAGCCATGCCGCCATCGCGCCCTTCGGCAAGCAGAGCGCTGCTTTGGGAAGTGTGCTGGGAAACAAGTTGAGAGGAGGGCCCTTAGCAGGACACGACCCTCGCCTCTAGTCAACAAGAGATGTGGGCAGTCATTAGCGAAGAAACAAGAAAGCGTGTTAGCTACTTCGCTGCTCAGCTACTTGGCTAGATAGCTAGCGAGTTATTGAACACTTTCGTCAAACTAAAACATACTTCGTTTTTTCCCACACGTTTCTTGAAAATGCGGTTGCCGTTTTGAGACTATGTGTTGTCTTTCAACAAATCTGTTTATCTACCTATCTATTTATTTATCTGTCTACCTACCCATCTACCTACCCGCTTGTTTCTCGTTGTTGCTTCTTTGTTTGCTTGTTTTTTTGCTGGATTCTTTGTTTGTCTGTTGTTTGGTTCTTCCTTCCTTCCTTTCTTTCTTTCTTTCTTTCTTTCTTTCTTTTTTTCTTTCTTTCCTTCGGTCCCTGTTTTCTTTCGGGCTTTTTGTTTATGTTTGTTCTGTGTACGCCCGCCTGCCTGCCCTGCCTGCCTGCTTGCCTGCCTGCCTGCCTGCTTGTTTGTTTGTTTGTTTGTTTGTTTGTTTGTTTGTTTGTTTGTTTGTTTGTTTGTTTGTTTGTTTATTTATTGTAAACGCTTCGCGTTGCCCGCCTCGGCCCAGCCTAGTTTGAGGGAAGGGTCAGGAACACCGAAATCCAGTGTTGAGAAGGTCCGAATCCTACTGAAAGCTTGTGACCGCACCAGTTCGCCCGTGCTAGTTCGATGTTCGGAAGCCGTCCTGCTCGGACAGTCTCGGGCAGCTTGGCTGGTCCTTGCTTGCGTGGGTTGTTGGTTGAGCTGGGCCTGAAGCTAGTTTACGCAGTTTCAGACACGTCAGACAGGCCTGGCCAGCAGGCGGACTGGGCTGGGCTAGACGCCAGTTGAGGGCTTGGGTGAGGTTTGCTTAGGCGGGTTGCTGGTTGGGTTGCTGGGGGTGTTTCAGACAAGCCTGAGGCTGGGTGGGCCTGGCCAGCAGGCGGGTTGCTGGTTGGGCTGGGCCTGAGCCTAGTCTCAGACACGTCAGACAGGCCTGGCCAGCAGGAGGTCATGCTTTTCAGGAAAAAGGCAATTTTTAGGTGATTTTCGCAATAGCACATTTTCGACAAGGGGAAAAGCGAAGATTCTCTTTGGAGAAGAGATCTGAGCGCCCTTGGCCCCTTTGGGGCCGAGGCGAATTTATTGCTTTGCTTGCTTGCTTGCTTGCTTGCTTGCTTGCTTGCTTGCTTGCTTGCTTGCCTACCTGCCTGCCTGCCTGCCTGCCTGCTTTCTTGCTTGCTTGCTTGCTTGCTTGCTTGCTTGCTTGCTTGCTTGCTTGCTTGCTTGCTTGCTTGCTTGCTATTCGTTTGTTTTTTTTGGTTGATTTGTTTCCTCATCTTTATTATTTGTTGGTTTTTTGTCTTTATGTGTTTTGTCAGTCATTCTATCTGTCTGCCTGCCTGCTTGTTTGTGTGTTCGTTTGTTTGTTTCAGCTTGCTTGTTGGGTTTTCTAGCTGGCTGGATTTTGTTTTTTGTTTTTTCTTTGTTGTGTTGTGTTTCTCTGTGTTTCTTTTTTTCTTTGTTTTCTTTGTTTTCTTTCTTTGTTTCTTTCTTTCTTGTCTGTTTGTTTTTTTGTTATGCTTTGCGTTTGCCTGTTTGCCCGCCTGCCTGTCTGTCTGCGCTCGTCTGTCTGCCTGCCCGTTTGAATGTTTTTTTTTTTGAGTTTTAGTCAGTTTGCGGTTAGTTGGTTGGTAGGCAGGCGGGCAGGCAGGTTGGTTGGTTCGTTGGTTGGTCGGTGCTTACTGACATTTTTAAGAATCCAATCCACTTTTCTTCTTTCATCATTTTCATATTTCCCCTCCTTCCTTCCTCCTTCCCTGCCTCCCTTCCGTACTTGCAGTCATTTAGTCTGTAAGCCGGTCAGTGAGCCAGCCAGTCAGGTAGTTAGTCAGCAAACCAATTCACCAACCTTGCGAGTGCGCTCCGTTGCCTTGAGGCCACCCAGTGCTAATTTTGACAGATGGACGCACTGTTCATCTGAGATGGTTGTGTTTTTTCAAGAAGATTGCCGGGCCATGTGGTTTGGCTGCCCAGTTGAGGTTCTGTGAGAGCTCTTTTTAGGGCCAATCATGGATGAAGAAGAAACAGAACAAGGGCTTGCGCACTTTTCGAGGAGCAAGGTGATGACGGAATTGTCGAGCCAGCAGCTGGTGTCCTGTGTGGAAAACCCGCGGGCGTGCGGTGGTACGGGCGGCTGCGACGGCGCGGGGGGCCGGCGGGGGTTGGGGGTCGCCTTTGCAGACTATCTTGTTCACACCTCCGCAGTGACTTTGATTTGGCGCCGAATGGTGAATGTCACGGATAGCTTGGGGTGCACAGACGATATTCTAGATGCTCACAAACAAGATTCCTCCAAATGTTCCCACTGTGTCTCGCCCGGCTTTGACCGCCAAATTTGCAGCCTGGCCATAGCGTGTGATCGGCAGCATCTTAATCAACTTGGTGTCCTTGATGAGCCGTCATTTTGACGTTGCTGTGGCAGCTAAGGTTGCCCTTTACCACGAGTCGAAACAGCCTCACCCAATCGAAGCAACCACTTAACGGGTATTGCCAGTATCGCCTTTTTGAGGATAACAACATGTATACAGGGGTGGGGGACATGACATGGACAGCGCAGTACAATGCTGATACTTCAGTTTGACTTGCTGTTGCTTGAGCAAATGCCAGCACTGACTCGCAAAGCATGGTGTTAAAAGTGATGTCGCCTTCAGCCCAAAGACCTGGTTGCTTGAGATACCCTCCCACTAGCTGTAGAAAGACTACTTTCCTCTTGGAAAGGGCCTTATTGCACTTCCATGTTAGTTGGGTGGGAGGGTATGTGTTTTTTTGTTTGCCTCTTTGCTGGGCAATCCCCCAATCGACTTTGGAGCCACGGCCACTCCCCAAGACCGCCAGAGGTGAGGGCCAGTGCCTCAACGGAGTGCCCACTTTGCAACGGCCGGTAACTGCACTTTGAGTTTGAACAATTCTGAAACCAAAAATCACCTCAAGGCTTGGTTCCTTTAGGTTTCCCTGTTCTTTGAAGAATTCTCAGAGGCAAGAGGAATCACCCCAACGCTCGGTTTCCCTTGGGTTTCCCTTGGGTTTCCCTGTGGTTTCCGCGTTTTGCCCTTGCACCTACCATTCCACCGGGCGGAGAGCCTCGCCGTCAGGCGCCACCGCGGAGCTGGCCTTCGAGTACCTCGTGGACCACCCCCAGACCTTCGAGGACGTGGTGTCCTACCAGAACTTCTTCGGCGGAAAGGCGCTTGCGGAAAGAAGCGGAAACGCGTGCGAAGCCGAAGACGCCGAAGACGCCGACCGCCCGAAGCCGAAAGCCGTCAAGACCAAAGCCAAAGCCAGGAAGACCAAAGTCGAAAGTTAGAAAAGTCAAAGCCGAAGCCAACCAAACCAAAAATCAAAGCCAGCGCGCCAAGGCCTTCAAGCAGACCCATCCAACGCAAGGCGAAAAGGAGTAGGTGCAAGGATCAAATTCAGAGCACATTTTCCTGGGGGGCCTTGAAGAAAGCATGCTCATGGGTGGTCGAACCCTGAGTTGAGTGAATGGATTTGGAGTGAGCAAATGTCTGGGACCCTCAAATTGATTTGTAGGCATATGTGACGTATTTTGCAACTCCAGTACTCAGACGTACTTGTTTGTTGGGTTTGTGCATTGTGATGTCACCACAGACGCTCGTCTGGGCACTACTTGCACATGATTTTGGGGCAAATGATCTAGAGCAGCCCTGATTGAGTTGGATTTTCATGCATTCCTTTATGAGCCCCTTCACAAGTGTAGGGCCGTCGAACATTATATAAACGGGATGTAATCCAGAGTGAAAAGCACATGCTTGCTGCGCAACAATTCTGACAGAATATGACAAGCTGGTTTTGCCTGCACCAATAGCTAATACATCATGTCCGTTGCAACAACCACGTCATACTGGGGCCCATATGCACAACTGTTCGATGACAAGATGCAACTAATATGTGAGCATTCCCACATCCGTCCCAAGCTCTTCTTGGGCCAGAATCAGGCTCCGTCTCTGAAGAAGCCGACTGTCGTCTGAAACAATGTGCTTGTTTCTGATTTTCTTTGGCCCTTCCAACCCCCTCAGCGCCTGCCCCGGCCCAGCAATTGGACCTAGCCCAGCCTGGCCACCCAGCTGATCCCCAGCCCTGGCGTGATCACGATGAGGATCGGTCATGATGACAGTGATGATGATGATGATGATGATGATGATGATGATGATGATGATCATGGCGCATCCCCAGCAGCACCAGCGAAGCGCAATGACGACGATGATGATGATCTCACTGTTGATAGTGATGATGTTGAAACAGGCCAGCAAGGACCCATTGGGCAAGAATTGGAGCTTCAGCGGCCCATGCCGACGATGACGATCACGAGGATCATGATGACAGTGCTGATGATGAGATCATGACACATCCCCAGCATCACCAGCAAAGCATATTGCCGACGATGCTGATGATGACAATGATCATTGTCGTCATGGAATTCTTGATCATCATTATCATGATCAAAGCGCAATGACAACCATGATGTTCATCACATGATGATGATGATGACGATGATGATGATGATGATGATGGTGATCGCGCATCCCCAGCATCACCAGCAAAGTCTAATGACAACGATGGTGATAATCATGACTAGCATCCCCAGCATCGCCAACGGCTCCCAACGTCACATTTGAAATGATGCAGTTGGGAAGAAGGGGTCGGTCGGCAGTTGTTGGTTTTGCTTTGTTTAGCATGGGCTACTCATGGTGTGTGGGCTGAAACGGGGTCAGTAGGGGGAGACGGGGAGGGTGGAGTCAGCATCCCAGCGCTCCGACCTGCTTTGCTTTAATGTGCGCTGACATGGAGTTTCTCAGTGGTCGGGTGGGTTTCGTTTGAGTTATACGATTTGCTTGCAGATTTAGTTGGTTAGCAAGAGATTTGACCCTGGTTTCAGCAGGGTTGTGCCAAAACTTCCGCCGGTAATTTTACTGGCGCGAAACCAGCTTCCGGAAATGCAACGACAGGTGGCGTGCAGCGACACGCTGCTCGGTGTGCAAGAAACCCGTTTCGCAGGTGTTGTTGAGCTTTCCAGCTTGACACTTGTTTGAGCAGAGTCAACCAGAATATACCAGAATCCAAGGCCAAGCAGAACAGATTCGAATCGCTTCTCCCGGCTTTTTGGAGATCCACATTCTTCCCTTGCACAGTCTTCGGAGCGAAGGTGTTGAGTGGACTTCTGATGGACTAGATGCTTCTTGCGATTTGATGGCAACTCTTTTTACAATCGCTTGACCCGTTTGAGAGCTTCCAACTCTCAAGTCGACTGTGAGTGAGCAGTGCTGCTGCTTTGCGGCTTTGGGGCACCCTGTCGTTTATGATGATGGACAGGGGCCGACCAAATCTTTCCACACGCAACAAACGTGACCCTTGCGTTTTTGAGGGGCTTCGGCTGTGTCGTTCACATAAGTTCTTGGGGTTATTGCTCTCTTGTTTCAACCTTGGGGGCCATCAATTCTCGCAGTACTTTCAATGCTGGCGTTGACCTATTGCCTCACGTGCAGCCTTTCTCTCGAAGCGAGCGCACTCTGCCTTCAGCTGCGGGAGAACAGCAGGGGCTCCCAACAAGAGATTTGCTTCCCGACAGCTGGCCGCAAACAGCGTTGTTTGTTTGCCAGTATCAGACAGTGACGTTCCTGAAGCAAATTGCGGATCGGGTTCACTCTTCGAGCCTTTCTTCTTGCTTCCGAACGAATTTCCTGGGGATGCCTGCCGTTGGCACCCGCACCCATACATCTATTCAAGCGTGCATGAAACGAGAGTTTCTGACTTGCCTGTGGTCAGAGTCTACCCTGGCCAGCCTTTCTGTTCAAGACTTAGTATTAAAGCCGAGTCTTCTGGCCGCTTGAACCCTGACAACTTGGTGCATTGTTAAAGATATGGGTATGGGTCAAAATAATGCCACCAAATTTTAGTGCATGTTTCCAGGGGACCGCACTTTTTGGTCCATGTTTCCATTTCCCACAACAACCCATTTAGGGTATGTTTGACCCGCAGCCACATGGAGAACCAGGCGGCCCACGGTGGGGACCGATGGGACCCATGTGACCCGAGCGAGCGAGGATCGAGTCCCATGCGAGTCGCTACCCCGTGGTGTCCATCACGGGCTTCGCGCCTTGGCCGATGGGGGGAAGGGGCAAGCTGAAGTCGTTTCGTCGTTGATCCGTTGGTCCTGGGTCCATTCAAGTGACGTCATCCAAAAATAGCCTCTAAAGAGTTTAAAGGGGAAGCCCACAAGTAGTAATGAGAACTCTCAAATTGAGCCACGTGCTCAAAACTCGGGTAGATGAAGGTTAGTAAGGGACAATCCCCTTGCCATAAATAGCTGCGGAGATCCGCCTTCTTATTTGTTGAAGCATGGTTCTGGGTAGACCATTTTAATACCGGGTTTTGATTATGACTTCAATTTGCTGGTGCTCAGTAGGGAACGACCCAGCGTGCTGGGAATGAACCGGAAGGGGATTCCCTTAAAGGAAACCATAGGTCATTCCAACTCATTCCCAGAACCAGCCAGTCAAACCCAAGCATGGCAGAAAAGAGGTGGTTTGCCGCAAGGCGGCGACAGCGACGACCACAATTCGCTCAAATCCATTGTCGCGCATATTTTCCATGGCAAAAGATGCAAGACCGGCGCAGGATCTTCGATCCCGGTCAAAATGGGATAAGCAACAAAGAAAGTGATCCAACCCTTGCTCTGGCTATCATTCAATGCGGACCTTTGACCAACCGAGTGCTGAGGGAACTGATTGGCATGAGCCACTTCTCGCCTGCTGGGCGGATCTCAAAACAAAGGGGCCCAAAAATAAAGTTGGTGTCATATTGGCGGCTCGTCTTTTTAAGGGGACCCCTTGTTTTTGTGTTGTGTTCTTTCAAGGGCAACCAAAAGGAAAAAGCGAAGCCATGTTGAGGAGTCCAACCTTAAAGAAGACAGACCTATTTGGTGTCCATTTTTTTGCGAATGTCTCAGTTCGACGCTAGTTTGTCCGTCGCAGTTTGCTGCGCCCAGTCCTAAGCTTCGTTTCGCTGATGCTCTTATATTCCATTCAGGCATATACATATATATATATATATATATACGCATGGCGCAGCAACAGAGGTAGTTCAGGGAGGGTGACTATGTATGTATATATATATACATATTTGCCAGAGGGAGCCTGGAATGTCAATGTGCTAGGGCTCTTCCAACTTAATTCAAGATGATGTGTTTTTGTGCCTGGAGAAGGCTTGGGCTGCCCATGTCTCACATCCCAGCAAACAAAATCGCACTGCGCTGACGCGTGCTGCGAACGCTGCGCAAAGCTCAATGCTGAAACCAGTAAAGAATGGATACAGCGGTTGTGCAGGATGTCTGGGGAAACCTTGTCAAGTTTGGTGAGTTGATTTCTGAACTGCTGCAAGCCGCTCCAGCAAGCGAGGCCCTACGCGTGCAATGCTATGAAGTGCACTAGCGCGTGCGCCAAAAAGGCAAAAGAGCAGATGGTGAATGAATCTGCAAACAAAACCGAGGCCAGTGCTTTCATTCACTTCCCAATTGAGGAACATGTTGCACAACCTAGGACGCGTGGCCTGCCTGTGTCCCCTCACTTGCCCTTCGCTAGGGTCCTAACTTGAGACTCTCGTTTCGCAAAGGTTGAGGCGCCACACCCCCCCGCAAGGGAGGCACCGGAGATTGGCCTTAGATCTTGAGGTCAAGCTCCCAGTGAATGAGTACGAGGCGCTCATGGAAGCTCTGGTTACCAAGGGTCCCATCGTCACTTGGACGAGATTGGGAGCCCCCGCGGGTTATATCATTTCATCTTGTGCCGTGCCATGTCATTATCATACTCATATCATGCCATGTTGTGTTCTATTCTGTCATGTAGTGCAATGTAAAGTATACAGTGTGACGTGATAAAATCGTGATGTGATGCAACGAAGGCGTAGTGTAGCGTAGGGCAGTGTTGTTTTATGTTTACGGTATGTCCTGTCATATCACGTTTTGCATGCTATCTATGTTGTATATATATATATATGTATACACAGATATTATGTATGCTATGTATGCGATGCATGTTGTGATGGCCCCCCTCTCCGGCGGACCATTCTCATGTACGCATGTATGGTTTGCAAATCAACAACATGTAGTGTGAAATGATGGGCAAAGTAGCGCAATGTGCACATGGTGGGGTGTGGAGTGGTATGGTATGGTAATGTTAACTTCGAATGAATCTGGGGGACCCAACCATCGAGAGGACGAGGAAGCAGACCATCTCCTTGCTGAAAGGGGACCCACCCAGTGATCAATACAGTGGGTGAATCCGAAGTCAACATTTGTGGCACACTATGCTATGTCCGTATGGTTGCATGTTTTGTGATTAGCCATGGTTCATATCATCATCAGGGACGTCGCGTTAGTGAC